AAAAAAAAAACCCAAATCTTTATGCTTTTGAAATGTAATTTTCGTTATATCTGTTCTCTTTTCAAAACACTGACTTTATTATTGTCTGCATGTGAAGCACTTAGAGGATAAGAGTACACTGTAGCTACAAAAAGACGGATTATGCTCTACCCGGGCTCTGGACCAACAGAGATTTATAATTATTTTAGTTTTTCCCTGGAAGTCCCAAGACCAGTGTGGGAAAAGAAAAATGTGTGTGTTGGGGGGGCGGGTTGGAACACGTGGAATAGTGCGTGGCTGGATTCTGAAAACAAAAATCTCTTTTCAAAATCTCGCGAGCCTTTCCTCATTATAGGGATCATTCCGTCGTCGCTGCTGCTCTGTCTCGCCCTACCTCCCGCCCGCTCGGTCACATCACCGGGGCAGCCGGACAGAGACGGAGAGAGAGAGCGAGAGAAGCGGACTGACTATGGAGCTCCTCTGCAGGGTGATATGAAGGATTTAGGTCATGAGCCGTTTTTTTTAAATTTATTTTTCCCTCACAGACAGATTAATGTTCAGACCGGCCTAAATTGCTGCCGTGATGCTCTCTGAGTGAGTGTGAGAGAGAGAGGCGTAAAAGAAACAAAAGGAGGCTTTCCTGCTCCTCAGAGCCTGGGTATGATGAGCGGAGTGTGAGCGGATGAAAGTGTGGAGAGAAAGAGGTGCAGTCCTTCTGTGGTTGGCTGCTGCGGGGAAGGAGAAGCTGGAAGAGTCCCGTTTGCGTGAGAGAGAAGGGACTGGCCGGTGCGGCCGCAGAAAGGGCGCATTGTAACCTCTGTAGGTTACTCTGTAAACTGAGATAGTTTCCGTCCGACGGCCGGGAGGAGGTCACGGTGAGTCTGCTGCTAAACGAGGAAAATATTAACAGAGATAATAAAGCCTAGTAAGCTGCTTTCAGTGAGAAATGGTTAAGATATTCTAAGGGAAGTAGGGCGAAGGGCCTGCAGCTTGTCACTGAACATTTTAAGTTTTCACCGGGATCTTTTCCGTTCATCTCGGCGCGTGCCTTTGCGCGCGCGGGCGCTTGTGTGTAGCGCGTGGCAAGACTGAAGAGACTGTGTGGATGTTTGATTTTCCAGACAGGCTCGTCTTGTCTTCGCGGAGTTTAAATTTAAACCAATGAGAGGAAAAACACTGCGGAAAAAGCAACTTTCGCTGGAGGATGCTTCAGGCCCTGTCTGAAATTTTTTTCTTCTGGTTTTAAAAGGCACCATATTTTTTTCCACTATAGCAGATGTTTTTTATGGGACAAACAATCAGGGATGTGAACCCTTAAGCAGCCTCTGGTCTGAAGCTGCTTCATCAGCATAACCATTTGTTCACATCTCCCTGTGACAGCTGAGCGCCCCAGGGTGCAGCCTGAGGTTCCCACGGCCTCT